AGGAGCATGGTGCCAGAAAACTCAACAGTGAGCAGTCAGTAGCACCGCTGAGAGGAGAGTTTTACAAACCATTTAAAAATACTTGTATGTATGGGTCGATTTTACGGCGCGTTATAGGGCGCTATATTGCCGTGCTAAGGAAAAACGCCGTACACTGAGAAAAAAATCTCGGTGTATTTACTAAGAAAAGGGTAAAATTACCAAGAATTCAGGGTTCTATTCGATCCCAGTTTTTTCTCGGTAAAATGGGCCTGTTGCATGCAAGAGATACAGCCGCGCGAATAGACTATTTAGAGGTTAAATGACACGAAAATTATGATGGTCACATTGAAAAAGTCTGAAATACACTCCTTACTGCGCAATTTGCGTTGTTAGGAACGCGCTTTTTCAAATTTCCCGCGTCTGGGGGCAGTTTTCTAATCACCGGAAACGAGCAAACGGCGGGCTCGGTGATTTCCGGAAGATGCCGAGTCGTTGTTGTTGTTGTTATTTTTTCCTTCAGTTTGTTTACAAACCCAACGTGATCTCTCATAGTGGTCCATATACGTTTTATGCGGTAACCAAATCGATCAACTTTTAAATATCCAACGCAATCCTTCTACATTTCATTTCACGATATCACGAGCTCCGATTTTAGGTTATGTTGTCAGTTTTAGTTGACCGGAAATAGGCGCGAGTTGCCGTTAATTGTTTCTGTTAGAAAACTGCCCCCAGACGCGAGAAATTTGAAAAAGCGCGTTCCTAATAACGCAAATTGCGCAGTAAGGAGTGTATTTTAGACTTTTTGAATGTGACCATCGTAATTTTCGTATCATTTAACCTCTAAAAAGTCTATTTGCACGGCTGTATCTCTTGCATGCAACAGGCCCATTACCATCCATGGAATTGGTAATTTTACCGACAAATCTCGATAAAATTATTGAACTTTCTCGGTAATTTTACTGGACCTTGGTAAAAACGCCAATATTTTTTATCGACTGTGGTAGAATTACCGAGATAAAATAGCAAAGCTACCGGGAATTGATTACCAATAAAAGTGGTATTCTTACCTGAAAAAACAGTAAAAATACCGGTTTTAGGTAAGCTTACCAGTCTGTCTTGGTAAAATTACCAATAATGGGTAAAAAAAGTGAGATGGTAAAGGTACCGACGGACCTTGATAAAAACGCCGTGAATTTTTTTTCAGTGTATGAACCTTCAGGCGTTGCCAAATTTTCTTTGATAAAATACTACTTTCTCGGTAAAAATATGAATATTTTTCTTCCGAGTCTCCAGATAATTTTGTTCGCAATTCGACCCGAATTTCCTGAAAGTTTCAGGCAAAAATATGCATAAATACTCAAAAATAAACATTTTAGTAAAGGAAATTTGGCAACTCTCGATTGTTCATACGGCGTTTATCCTTAGAACGGCAGTATACGACACCTACCCCTACCCGCCACAGGAATCTGTCATGGAAAAATACTTACCTGCAATAATGTATAGGACTCCACACTCCAAACTTATTTCAGATAGAAAATTCGAAGACGAAGAAGAATAAAAAAGGGGATCTGAATAAGAGGAAGAGACAGAATTAAGAAGGAAGGAGGGAAGGGGAGATAGAAAGAAAAGGGAGAGATGTGATAAGAATGGAAGAAGGAGAGTTGGAGAGGGGGGTTAATAAGAAGAATTTGAAAGAGAATGAAACGCGAAGAAGAAGGGGATTGTATGAAGAAGAAATAGAGAAAATAAATGTAAGATAAAGAATAATAAGAATAACACGAAGGGAAAAATAAAGAGCAAAAAGTATTCCTCTCAACCTGTCGTTCGTCTCTCTCCTTGTTTTCTTATTCGTATCCTACTATTTTTGTCCCTTCCATCTTCTTTCCTTCTTCACACTTCCCTCCCTTTCCCTCTCATTCTTTCTCCTCTGCTTCCTCCCGAATTCTTCTTTAGAATCATCTCATCGCTCCTCTCTGCTTCTCCTTCCTTTTCCTTTTCTCTTTTTTCTTCGTTCTTTTTTTCCTCTATTTCTTCCTCTTCATGTCCTTATTGCACGTCAGTCTCTTGTTTCTCTTTTTTAACATCAATCTCTTCCACTGTGATCTTCCTCCTTTTTTTCTCCGCCTCCTTCTAATTTACACTTCAAACCCTGACATTTGTTGAGAGTCCTAAAGTCATAAATAATAGTGCACATAGTGCATAGTGCATAGGTGCACTTAAGTCGTTGTTCCTAACTACCGATGTAGACATGACTGATTTGCTTCATGCAACCAAATTGACAAATGAGACACAATGCATCGTTGTGGGTGAGGAGAGTTCAATCGGTTACAGCAGCTTGTGCTAAAAATAATCATAAGCTTCTTCAAAAATGACAGAGCAGTTTGTAACGATAAACCACTTTGTCATACTTAATTACCCTGTGAAGAGGCATTGGAACAGATTTTTTCTGCTTTCCTCTCTGTCACCTCTCACTCGTGGAAATTTTTCTTTTGAACCTAAAAACCGAGTGCAGAATACTTTTTCAAAAGTAAACACCCACTCAACACACACGGGCAAAAGACTCTTCTGAAATGAGCATTATCATTGACAGCTTTTAAAGTACTCGAAATATAGGCACTTCATTAGAATAGTTCATTTCTTTCTCTCTATACATACTTTTAATTTTTCTTACCTTTGCCCTCTGTGGACTTGGTGTAGATAGAAGGAGAAAGAATAAGTAAACTTATTTTCATAACCTCTTCTCCTTTAAGTTCTTGATGTTTTATCTTGAAGGCATAATTTATCCAATTTCAGCTACCACCATTTTTAAAGATTAGATGATAGTTGCTGTTCTACCGTGCTAAGGAAAAGCGCCGTATGAGCCTTCAGGCGTTGCCAAATTTCCTTTCATAAAACACGAATTTTCCAGTAATCGTATAAATATTTTCCGTCCAATTTTTAAGACAATTTTGTTTGCAATTTCATCTAGAGTTTCTGAAAATTTCAAGGAAAAATATCCATAATTTTCCTCAAAAATTAACATTTTATCGAAGGAAATTTGGCAACTCTCAAACGCTCATACGGCGTTCTTCCTTAGCACGGCATTATTAGTAATAGTATAAATTTATAAAGTATTTTAATGGTAATTGAGATAATTACCTATGTAGTTAAACCTGCTCTCTATGCAACAATCAATCTGCAGAAAATGAAAAAAGTAATCCTCTTACAAATGGATTGCATTTTGCAATAAGGAACCACAATCTTTGGCTCTAAAAGTACCTTCCTGCATAAGGAAACAAATAGCATAAAATGTTGTTTCTACAATGAGCCAGAAATGGTGGTTCCTCATTGCAAAATGTGGTCAAAATTATCCTGGTCTCTTGAATGCCGTTCGTGGAGTTGATAAAGTCGTCCGATTTTTTATAGACATCCAGAAATAGGAGCCTCAGTTTAGTTCCTAACTATCGCTAACTGACAGTTCTCCTTACAGTAATATAAGTACTGACAGTACTTACAGTACTTGACAGTTAATACATGTATTATTTGTTTTATCTTTATATAATTTTTGTGTTTTCTTGCAAAGGTGTTATCACTCAAGAAAAACCGGAAAAACAAGAAAACAAATTGGTATGGAATTTGTATTCGGTTGCAGCCTCAAATCTTTCTTTCGCATGCAAGAGCCTCACAGTCAATTGGAAGAAGAGGAAAAATACGTTTAAAAGTAGTTAGACAAACCTAGTTGTAAGCCAAACTTTCCCAAAGTCAACGATTTTACAGTAAAACGAACTGCCCTAAAATATTGCAAAAGATTAATTTAGTAATCTTGGAATCTAGATTTTTTTAAAATTTTCGCTTCATTTCATTTCGTTGCGTTGTGTTGGTTTATCTATTCTCTCTTAAAATGTCACTGTTATTCCCATTCCTGCTGAATCAGAACAATTCTGTGATCAGTATTCTGTCCTTAGTGTATTAAAATCTAAAAATTTTGTGAAAAATTTACCCAACTGTTGCGTCAGTGAATGATCGGCATTTTCTAATCACAATTTGAAGGCTATATACATGTTTTTACTTTCTCGCTCCCCTAGGGTAGAGAGGAAGTATTGTCATCCTCCAATATAAAAAAAAAGTTGAAATTTCATCATTTATAGACGTTTTAAGGTCCCAGGAGTCAAATAACCATACTTGAAAAAATGTGTGTCCGTCCGTCAGCTGTCCCTCAAATCTGTGTACAGCGATATCTCAGAATCTATCTGTTCGATTTCATTCAAAATTGGCACAGAACACCATTTCTATGGTCTCCTTATGCACGTCAAACGATTTTGGGGTACGCTAAAATTTTTTCCTATTTTTTATCGGTCTACTACTCTTCATTTTATTTTACAAAAAAAGACAAAGTTATAAATAAGCATGGTGGATCTTTACTTTGTGACATGTGCTAACGAACTATAGTTGTTTTTTCTCTATCGTACAATAATTTCATGACACATGAAATTACGGCACGTTTAATTTAATTCAATTCACCGAAAAAAAAGTGAAGTTAATCTAACATTCTGAATGTAAAAAAAGTGTGCGATAGTTCACAAAATGCTAAATTACCCACTACAGTAATTAGTTTTTCATCTTGACATTGCTAAAATAACTGAGGTAGCTGTTAATTCAGCATTTTGTAAGTTCTCGCACACTTTTTTTACATCCAGAATGTTAAATCAACTTCACTTTTTTTCAGTGAATGCTAGGTGATTCAATATGTTCATTCAAAAATAACAGTAAATCTAGACGCCAGAGCACTGTGAGTGGGAGTCGGTCGCAAGCGCTCACGCTTGACTCTCTTCAGAAGCGGTGAAACGAGCGCATATTGACTTTGAACCCACCAATGAGAGCTTGTTGACTCAGCGAGCGACCAATCAGGGACGAGAGCGGTTTTACAGGTAAGTTTCCAGGCTGGATGAGCTGGATTTCTTGTCGAGATGATTTTTTCTTCTTCTTTCCGTTTTCTTAAGAGATAACCGTCCTGTTAGTCAAGCGTTGGAGGTAACTCACTTATCTCGATGCCTGATAATTTTACGGGAGTATCTTATCCTGTTGTGTCCGATTTTAGAATAGATTAAAAACGAATTTTATGTTTGACCATTTATGTGAATTTTTGGATTTTATAATTGTGTTGTGACTTTAAATTCATTTTGTGCGCGTCCTATTGGAATTGACTTTCGAGGCTATCGGAGAGTAGCTTCGCTGATGTGAATCGTGAGTACCATTGTGATATCTTTACAGATAAAATGTGCAACAACTTAACGACATAACTAATTGAATTTAATTCAAGTTTTTGAGTTAGATAGGGAAGCGGCGTCAGATAGCGCGGCTCCAGATTCTTGACCTTAATTATTATTTTGCTCAATTCTACTACTTCCCCATCTTTAAGGACGCGGGAAGGATAATTTTCCTTTATCTTGTTATCAACGCAGTCGATAAACTAAGCATTTTAACATTGCCCCTAAAAACGAAACGATCTTCCTCAGTTTCGGTCCGCAAATATTATATGGGCCATGTTTGAGGCGTTATGAAAACTATACGTGCCTTATTGTGCCAACTTCATGTAGACAAGTTGCAACGATTTAGTATTACCAACTATGTGCCTCGTCGTGAAAGAAAAAAATTATTTCATCTCTTACGCAAAAGTTCAAAAGTTCAAAAAAAGAAGACTTTTCTGTTGGCTTTAAGCCGGTTTGATCCTATTTGATTGATTTTATTAAGTAATTAAATTTAAACAGATGATTAAGACTTAACGATTAATTTAGTGATCTGAGCAGCCGCTGAGTAGTGATTATTGATGCCTAAATTATTATCATCTACGTTTGGAATATAAGATATGAACATTATTCATAAAATTGAACTGTTCCTTGAGCCCGCGTCCACGAGTTGAACAAAAAAAAAAAATAATTTGTGCACTTAATTAAAAGTTTCTCGAATGATTTCCTGGGATATGGTATTACGAATCATCGAGTTACATTGTGTTACAACGTATTGTGTCATACTATTCTGACCGCGACCAAAAAAACGCAATTTTCGTGATTTCAAACGAAATGTTCAACCCTTCCATTTATAATTGGAAAATAAAATAATAGAAATCGTGGAGCTGCGATTGTGATATCTGTGTTGCCGTGGTCAAAGAATCAAAATTATGTGAAACGTAAGCCTGTTAAAATTTGGGTGTTGAATATTTAACAATTACTACGTTTCTTGATTTTTCCACTTTATTCATTTTTGTGTGATCAATTTTTTTGAAATTTTGAAATTTTATCTAAAGTCGTATTGCAATTTTCCAGTAATTCTAAGTTTTTACTGGTTAATCCTAAACTTACATTACAGAATGCCTCAATTTGTGAAAATGTTTAATGATTGAAATTCAAAATTAAAATATAAGCTTGTAGATATAGTTCAAGGTAACTAAATTAATTCCAAAAGTTTCGTATTTCATCACACTTTACAGATGCACAAAACTTTGGGGCTCATCTCTTCTTTATTTTGAACAATAATATTACATTCTTGGCGTATTTTTGTCCCGGCGCGGCGTGGGCTAAAACTGGCATCCTTTTCATCGCTAGGTTTACTTAGAAATTAATTGCAGAGCTTCTCTGACCTTTTCATAGAGAAAATTCATATTTTTTTCAGTGAGTGCCAAGTTTCAATACTTACAGAGAACTACAAAAGCAGAAACTTTTTGTGGCAAAATTTTTCTATAGAAGATGAAGATGTTATAATCCAACAATAATGTTCAAGGTTTCAAACTAGTTTTCTTCTCATTAATGTCTTTCATTTTGTCCCTTGAAACTAAGTAGCACTCTCCGGCATTTTGTTCGTTACATGAATGTTAGTTTATTGATGTCCAAGTCCTAGATTTCTTCAAAAACTGTTATGAGTTATTTATTTAACTCTGAGTGTTATTTTGGAATGTTGCGCTGTGTCGTTCATAGACTTTATATGGTCCTTACGTGAGTAAAAAATGATGGATTATCTTAGTGGATCAACTTTCGCACCGGTTGAATTCCGAGAGAAAAGTTCGAACTTTTATTCGTTCCCGGTCTCAGAGAAAATTAGTTTCTCAAACGTCAATTATGGGTCTGGACAGGGTGTCCATTTGGCGCCTCTTTCAATACAAAAGAAAGTTTTAAGATACCTCAAAAAAAAAATACCTCTTCGAAACTCAATTTTATGAGACGGGTAAAATATGGGCTGGTTTCTTTTCTTGCTAAACTTGGACCAAATTTGCTTGAAAACATACTGCTGATTTTACACAATTCAAATAGCAAATTATGTAAAAACGCTGTGCATGCCACAAAAGCCAATACACTAATTTCTCGATTCCGTTTACTTATAATTTTTAATTTGGGCCATTAAAATGACATTTCCAATAGAACTTCATTTCTTGGATGGAAAAGTAGCAAAAGCAACTCAGCATCATTCCTCTAAAAAATTCATGACTCTGCGTTTGGCTGTAATGAATATTCTGTGAATACGTCAAGACAGCAAAGCTTAGCTTGTTTTCCAGCCAAAACATAACCGAAAAGCAAAAAGTTTGTACTTTTGCTTTAGAGTCTTCGTAAATTTTTTGAGGGAGCCAAAAATATAGTTGGACAGCGCTTAACTAAAAGTAATCAAATGCCATGGACGTGGAAGAAAATAGAGGTTGGAATTTTCTTTCTTCTAGAAACTTAATGCAAAAAACAAGGCCTAAGTACGATTGGAGGCACCGAATATTTTTTGGGGTACTTCAAATTTTTTCAAGATAAAAGGAACTAATTTATGCTAAAAGGAACTACATGTATGTCGCAGTGTCGCACGCTACCCTATGCTCATTGTTTCTTTTAGCATAAATACGTTCCGTTGCGCCTATCGACGATTCTAAAAAATATTCCCAATTAAACTCTTTAAAAATGCTACTCAGTGCTCCAGACACTGTCAGTAATTTAAAAATAGTTTAATTATGACATCAAAATAAAATTTTGAAATTATTTTAACATTTTTATAAATAAAATGACCGATTAAAGGGTTAAATTTTAGATTTCAGTATGAATCCAATAGAATGAGTTTACCCGGATATTAAATAGTTCTGTGATCACAATGAATGCACGTAGTTTCTCTAAAATTCACTTCCTCACCTCCTAATTCGAGAATGTTGAGCCACGCTCCGATATTTTAGATACTTAATTGAGAACCCATTTGCTACAGAGAGGACATTTTGGTTTAAAAACTTCACTCGGAACTCGAAATTGCTTGCATCATGTCTTATGTTTTCCGGTCATTCTGTTTCAAAATATCCCCTTCAACGTCTTTTATGTCTTTTTCGAAGACATTTCCTCCCATTGTAAACATTTTGACGAATTATGTTTTAAAATTTCGGAAAAAATAACACACTATTTCACAAACGATGATTAATTAGCCTTCAATACAATCAGATTGTAGGCAATCTACACCTTCGCCACGTGGTTTTTCCTAGTTTCAAAATCGATAGGATGAAAGGTCTGAGGTTCAAACAATAGATGCCGCGCGCTGGGCCGTTAGGTGAAATCTTCTTTTAGTTGATCATACTCCCCGTTATTTTCCTTTGGAAACAATGACTGCAGTATAACTTGGTGCATTGTAAATATGGAATGAAAGTCCACTAGTTGTTGCACCGTCTGATCCTCCGCCACCGCATCATTTTGCTTGTGTTTCACAGATGTTGAGCTAAACCATTGTGAGGTGGACTTCGAACATTTTGTTTTCAATGATTGTTTGCAACGGAGTACGCCACCAAATTAGATGTTATCCTCAAGGATAGACAGCTCGACAGGCCCTCTCTCTTTTACAAAATGAAAGAGCGTTCCTACAATGAAGTTAGAAAAATACATGCAACATCCTGTGCATTGCATTTTAGATAGATTGAAATAAAAATTATGTCCAATTTCACTCCTTTTTTCAAAATTTTCAAATGCGATCAATAATTTAAAAAACACCATCTTAGAAAAATTCTGCGAAAAATATCCAAAATTTGACCATGAGACAACCAAAAAACAAGGGTAATTTTTAGACGGAAAAACTAATCAAAGGATTGTCCAATATTTTCTAGAAAGACAAAGACTACAATTTGCGAATGGAAATTACGCAACGCTGAAATGTAGTTACGTTCCCTCGTTTAGCAAAAGACATGACGTCTTCTCTCTATCTCCGCAAATTTTTTCGTTCACAGTTGCAACTAAAACGATTGGAACAAAATTTGCTTACGGGGCGATTTTTTTTCTCAATTGTCAGGATTTACGGCGTAAATTCCGAGCTTTCACCGTAAATTTTGGAGTTGAGTCGTCCAAGTTCTAAAGTTTGTATTAACTAAAGTCCTTAGCAAAAATATAATGTAAATCTTCTGGAAGTACAAACAAAAGTCAGTCTGTAGAATTCCAAGCGTAACTTATTGTTAGACACACTGTGCGGTTAACAACGACCGACAAATAACCCGCATGGAAGCGTGCCTAATATGTCTCGCGCACAGGCGCTGAAAAATCGATCAAGAGCACAGCGCCTTCAATGATCCAATATATGCAACAGGCACATCCTAAGAGGTCGAATAGTTGCATCAATGCGCTGCTGCTGGTAACACGTAGCTTTACAACGCCTGACACGAGAGAAACTATGATAGAAACTGACGTTTTCATCAGTGCCTTATTGCAACTGTTCGACCTCTTAAGATTGCCTGAAAAAAGCTAAAATTGCTGAATGGTTTTTACTTACTTTGGATCGTTTAACAACGTACCCTCCTACACTATTCTTGACCTTTACAAATGACATAAAATTATGTATAAGTCTGTCCTCGTATTCTTTTCCACGCAAGGGCCATTGTGTGTCAATCCTTGCGATCGAGATCAAAATTTTCTTTGAATGATGATACAGAGATGCACTTTTTTTTCTTTCTGTGTGTTTTTGTTTTTGGTTTTTTTTTTACTAACGAATTTGAATAAGGAACTCTTTCAACAATAAAGTTCTCAAGCGTGAAGTCGCAGGATCGTCTCAGAGCTTCATCAATCATACTCCAGTGGCGTGGCGAGCTTTGCGATTTATCGATTGATCTACCGTTTAAATCTTTGGAATAAGATCGAAAACTAGGATGTTCACAATGAGCTCCTCAATAATAGAAGATTACTTACCATACAGCTTCAAACGGGGAAATATATTATTCGATCATTCACACCCTTGTCACTGGCATTCTCCACCCT